GCGTTTCTGATCTTTGCTACTGATTCCGAAAAAAGGGTATGAAAGAAAATAAATAAGGCTCAAAAGGGTAACGAAGGATAAAGTGTTTAGATAGCAGAACAAAATGCCTTCGTCATTCCAATCTCCAAAACATGCCAAGTGCAAACTACACAATTAAACAGACCAAGGAAAACATTTGCAACATTTTTTGATTATACTTGACTTGATAACCATATCCACACATTCGCCTTTTACATCTGTTAATTACCAAGCCACATTGGACAACACCCTCACTCTCATTACCACGAACGACCCCCTACAAATTTGGCAAACTTGCCTTTAGCTTCCACCCGATGCGGCATGATCCATTTCAGTAGGGTTTCTTTATGTTCTATCTGCCCCAGTTTCACACAATTCGGGCTTGAAGTGATCTCAAAATGTCTTTACTTATTTCCCTCAAATGTCCCTATCATCTTCAAAACTGTTTCATTCATTTCTTCATGACTAAACTGAATTTTTAAGACCAGGCCGAGAATTACGCATACATGTCATGTTACTAGAGTCAACAGGAAAAGAACTATAAAAGAAAACAGAACTAAACACAAATGACTAGAAATCACAGAAAATAGAAAATTGCATTAGACAGATGGTGAAAGGGTTTGGAAAACAAAACAAACAAACTAAACTGGGGTTATAAATCTAGAACAAACCTAGACAACACTAAACAGGCTAATATGACTAAACAAACTAGGCAAAATAAAAGGATAGAAGGGTTTGAATCACAAGACAATATCCGGATTACAACCCTGAAATAACCCGGACAACAGAAATGACAACAAAATACCACCAAAACTCCTCTCTGGATAACCAAGAAAGGAGCGTCTTTCCAATCATCAAACTCAACATCTTAGCCACTGACTTCTGCATCAACAATACTAGGACCTTCACAAGTCTCCATCACATTGTTCTTAACAGATTGCCTTTGGGTTCCCTTTGCCTACTCGTTCTTAGGATCAACCTCTGATAGCGCTGAAAGCTTCGTATCACGTGGACCTCTGAGGATCCCAGAAGAATTCTCACATTCCTTTTCAAAATAAATCACACCCACCATATGCGTCTCATTATGCACAGGTGACGGACTTTGGCTAGTGTCTGCTGCATCTGAATTTTGCACGATAGTGTCGCCTGCATCAATAAGTTTCTGAATCGCCTTCTTCAAATTCCAACACTTCTCTATGTCATGCCCCGGGGCATCTGAGCAGTATGCGCACCTCTGAGAAAAATCAAACTTCTTTGGAAGAGGGTTTGACATTTTTATCTGGATCGGCTTCAACATGTCCAATTTCCTTAGCCTATGGAACAGACTGGTATATGACTCTCCCAATGGAGTCAAGGTTTTCTTCTTCCGCAACCTCTCATTCTTAAATGCTTGATTGGGCCGGAAACCTGATCCAATAGGGTTTCGGTAGGCCCGTGGGGCGGGCAAGACATTTGGGGAAGTGGTGTGGGCCATCGCGGGCCTTGTGGGTGTGGAGCATATGGTGGTGCATCATGGACAGGGTACTGGGAAAGTGATGTACGACTTTGGGAGTTCTGTGGGGAGAAGTAGCATTGGGGAGGATTACAATTATATCCACGGGGTCGATATTGAGGCTGAAAGCATTTAACAAGAACGACCACTGGACCCTGTCGTTGGCGGGGTTCACCAACATCTTTTATATCAATGGGAGGACTATCCCGAGCAACTTGTTCGTTCCATCTGATCCAAAAATCCCTAAAACTATTCTTGGGATTCTTTTCCATTTGAGATGGGGAGGAGCGGTCCGGGGTAACACCTGATCTGTATTGAAAGCACCGAACAAAATCTTGAGTCATGTCACCCAATGTAGGCCACTTACCAACATCTTGACGAGTATGCCAGTCCAAAGCTGCCCCAGTCAGGCTCTTACTGAAATATGCCATCAAGAGGTCATCTTTCTCTCCAATGCTTCTCATTTCATTGCAATAGACCCTCAGATGGGCTACCGGATCTCCACACCCATCATATAAGTTAAATCTTGGCACTTTAAACCCCGTGGGTAGGCGAACGTCAGGGGACACAGACAGTTCTTTGTAAGTCATGCTACCTTGGTCTTCCCTTCCTTGTTTGTTCTTCAAGGACTGTTCTATGCCTTTCAGCCTCCTGTGTATCCCATCTCGCCCCTTTCTTCCTGTGGACTTTTTATTTTCAACATGAGGCTCATTCCGCGGGCCCTGCTTGTATGAGTTGGAAACTTTGTGGGCAACCTCTGAGGGGTAACATTGGGCATCGTGAGCTTTAAGTGGGTGTTCATTGTTGGGGATGGCGGATAAGATAGGAGGGCAATTTTTGGGAAAGGTAGTTGGAAGATGAGTGACGGAGCTACTAAGACGGTTGGGAAAGCTGTGATAAGCGGGTAGATCTGGAGAGTATGGAGGATCATCTGGCATTGTGTTCGGAGCTTGGGTAAGGGCGGCATCTAGGAAGCTAGGTGGTGGCGGAGGCGGTGCCTTCCCAGTCATCCAAGCCTGATACATGTCCGCCATGTGTTGTCTTAACATTTTTACCTCTTCAACCAACTGCTTTCGAGCGACGGTATCAACCAACTTAGTTCTGTTGTTGTCTGTCATTGCCTTTTGACTTTATGTTGCAGAGAAGAGTTACCACTTTAAAACCGCAAACCAACCACCTTTCTGTTATGAATATAACAAAATGAAGCCATCATGTTAGCGTTAGGGCATTTAACATAAGATAATCTCACTTTATGTGCAATGCACCTAGCCATAGTTATCGGTTCTAAAATGACTTCGAGAGTACAAAGGTCAGTTGGCATCATCCCAATTTGTTCATTTCAACCTCTCTTTTCTTTGTTTTTCTAGCACTTCTTAGCTCGCTCATTTTCCTTCCCCCTTTTCTTTCTGATTATCGCTCTTTTTCTTCCTTCTCATTTCTCACATCCCATGACTTCACCTCTTTTTTCTTTTTCCTTTTCTTTTTCCTTTTTCTTTTTTTCTTTTTTTTTTCTTTTATTTCCTTAGTTCTTTAAAAAAAATGATTAGATCGAACCCTATGTAGGTTGCCTACGTATCATGACGCCGTATGAATCAGATTTTTGCATAGTTCTGAAAGATCGGGAATGAAGTAGACAAACTAACATTTTCATTTTCTTTTCTTTTTTTTTTCCTTCCTTTTTTAAAACAGATACTCTATGAGAAATTATCAAAGAAAAACCCTAAAAGAGAAAAATATTTTTTGATTCTTTTATTTTTTTATGAAGGAAATCTAAGGAATAAACCACAGAAAAACATTTTGAATCTTCATTTGATATCCTGACGCAAGATTTCGAAGCAAGCAATAAAAATGATACAATAGAATGTTTTTGGATTTCAATTTTGATTGCCTAAATGAAAAATTCTAATGATAAACAAAAGATAAAGTATGCTTTTTTTTTCTATGTACAATATCCTAAAGTTCTAATGAAAATAAAAAGAATTTTTTTTTCATCTTTCATTAATTTCCCAAAGAAACAACTCACAAGAAAATCTTTTTGGATTTTGGAATTAATGCCTTAAAGAAAATTTTAAAGAGGTACTAAAAGAAAAAAAAAATTTAAAAAAAATTTGGTCCTAATATACTAAAGGAAGTATAAAAGCAATTTTTTTAAAAAAAAAAAATTCTAGATACTAATTTCCTAAAATAAAACCACCTCAAACTTTCTTTTTTTTCTTGATTTCTAGGAGTAGTATTTCTAAAGAAAATTCTAACGGAAATATAAAAACGCAAAATATCTTCTTTTTTTTTTAGATTTTTGAGTTACACCACACCTTTTCAAATATAAAATAAAAAGTACAATAACAAAAAACTCGACATTGCTCTACAAAACTAGAAAGTAAAAGACAACAATAAAATAAAAATAACACATATAAAAAATCTCCTTACGCAACTCCTGAATGCGGTGGTTCTGAGGTATTTGTCATGCTCAAACTCCGGTAAGTGGATCCACACTTGTATAAGAAAACTTTAAACCAACACTATGTAAGCCAATAACACTCCCTACTGGACACATGCAAGACATGATTGAGGCTATTTTTGCAAACTGGCTTATTTGGCCAAAAGGTGGCTAGAAGTGCAAAATTTGGCTATGACCCCGAAAGCCAAGAACCTAAGGTTTACTAGGAATACCGGACCCTATGTGGGTTGCCTACGTATCACGCCCCGAAAGACGAGAATCAGGTATGCGTAGTTCGGGCAGATTGGGAATGGAGTAAATAAGCTAACTCTTTTTTTTTTTTACTTTTACAAAACTCGGACCATGAAAGCTTTAAGCAAAAGAAAAACATATAGTTTTTTGAAATATTACATTTATTTTTTGAATTTTCAAAAGAAATGCTTTAAAAGAGGAAAGGAATTTTTTTTTTTTTTTGAAAATCAACTTGAAACCATTTCAATACCACCAAAACCATCTGATACTATGCAAAAAAAGATACAAATCCAGCCTTATCTAACTCTAGCCCCTCCTTTAAAGATAAGCTACTAGCCGATGGCCAAACCATTTACAAAGAACGGTCACATATGTAAGAACTGGTCAAATCTGCAATTCTGGACAGCCTCACAATAACTGACAAAGTTACAGCCTATTGGTAATCTCCCGAGCAATGTTCTTGAACAACTGAAGCAATAGTAATTTAACCAAACAATTTTGCAGCCTCAATACACTTCAAGCAATTTCAATAAACAGTTGCAAACCTCAACACATCACCTTTCAGAATTCCAAATTCGTAGTGCACAAATCTGGTTTGCAGATTCTTATGCTGAACAAAGCCTCAAGAAATGGAGTTGATGGGTTTTTCTCAATTCTCGACAAATGTTAAATAGAGGAACTGAGTAACATGGTTGTAACTTGACTGCTAATTCTGGACCTAAACGATTCATTAGCGACTATCACAAGAGTTTACACAAAAAAAAAATCAGTTGCAGCTAGAAAAACAAGCGGTACAATCTGAAATTCAGTAACCAAACTTCAGCCCCAAAGCGACAGATTTTTCTAGCTCAAATTCTCTTCAGCTAGCAAACTAAAACAATGCAGAATTATAGCAGAAATTAGGGCAGTTCTTAGGCTGCAGTAGTGCAGAATCTACAGCTGTGCAAATTTCAGCAGCCCAGTTCAGAAACTTAGCAACTGTGCAGGATCAAACTCAAAATGTATTTAAAATTTGGAACCAGGCAGAAAATTGTGCGGCAGACAACTCTACAGGTTCACATTTGTAGCCTGCTGGACCAACTGACACTAGACCAAACTGGCAGCAACAAACATGGCAAATTTCTTTTGCTGAGCAGAAACTGTTTAAAAGTGCAGGAACATGGCAGGTTTCTCAACCAATGAATGTGAGCAGACAACCTTAGTATAGATCAATGTAGCCAAGAAACCTTCAAGTGAAACTCCTGATAGAAAGTCCTTGCTTAGGTTTTTGTAACTGTCAAAGCTGCTCAAAACTGATCACAAACTGATATTTGCAGCTTGTCTTTAGCCCTCTTTGTGTTCAGAATTTTCAGGAACAATAAGTTCAGGTTCGAATAATTCTAGAACCAAGCTTAAAAGGGAAAAGAAAAACTTAACGACAGAATTTCAGCAACGTAGATTTACTTGCACAGTAAACTTCCAAACTGGATTGATCTCGAGCTGAGTAGCAGAACAAGGACAAATTTAGCTCACACAAGTTCAGAACAACAGCCCAAATTCAGTCGCTAACAGCTACTATCGACTGAAATGAATTGGACAACAATCTCAAATAATCCTATTTCAGTGCAAAGCTAGAACAAGCTCGTAAGGTCAGTTCAGCATTCCCAACTGAATTCCCCAACAAGAACTTCATACAATAGTTCAAACCAATGACAATCTCGAGTCGACTTTACGAATTGAAAATCAATCAATTTTAAAGAATGGAGATGCAATTCAGTTTCACTTCAATCAATTTCAAAGGAGCTAACAACCAGGAACTCGAGTCGACTTCACGCATTCAAACCAATTAACTCAGAAAGATCGAGTCGATGTTCAGTTGATACTCGATTCTTCTTCAAATTTTTCAGAAATTAAACTAAGTTTAGACTACAGAAAGAAGGAAACTACTTTTTTGAGATTTTTTTAAAAAAAAAACTTTTTTTTGAATTTTCTAAAGAAAGATTTCTAAAGAATGAACTAAAGGAAAATATTTTTGGATTTTGAAAATTGGGGTCGGAATCGATGAGGTTTGCCTACGTATCTCACATTCGGTGAGAATCAGACCCGCGTAATTCGGTCAATTTGGATACGAGCGAGAATAATAAAAACAACTGACATATAGAAAACACATTTTTTCCTCTTTATTTTTCGAACAATGATGAAGCATATAAAATCTTTTTGGATTTTCTTTTCTCTTTTTTTGGATTTTTTTTATTTTGAAAAATGATAAAAAGTGCAAAATCTTTTCAATTTTCAAGCTCTTCTCTTTTTTTTTAAACAAAAATGTAACTGAAAACATAATTAGGCCCCGCTCGCTTTATCCTCACACTTCACCCTCTCTTTTTCCCTTTTTTTTCCATTTTTTCATTTTTTCACTTGCCCTCAACTATCATTGGTCCGCCAAATGACCCTTTTACCCTTGAATAAATGCAACATGTAGCACATAGGATGCATCAAGATGGTATTTTCATTTCGGGTGTACCTATCCTAGACAGACCCAACCCCTGTGTTGAGTCTCCAAAGTCAAAATGCACATGATGCAAACAAATGTTCCTACTAGGGATCCGGCATGAGGCTGTGTTTTTCTAGGTTTAAATCCTGGGGTTTTGGTCTAGACTTGGGATACCCGAGCGGACAACTGGGGCCGAGGAGGGGGCGACGTACCGGGAGCACTGAAGTCTAACCGCCTTGTCGCTTGCCCAGCCTCGTTCTACTTGGTATAATTTCTACAGAAAAAGCAGGCTACGCGAACGTATGCACCATTTTCAGAAGACTCGGATGGGTGGCGTAAGAAGACAGTTATATACAATCCAGACAATATTAAAGCGATAAACAGATAGTACTTAGCACAAAAAGTTTCACAGAATACAGTAATATCAACAATAAATAAAGCCAAGCAAAATCATATTAATAAGCTCGAATTCTGAACCCTGAACCAGAGATTCTGGGTTCGATCCCCAGCAGAGTCGCCAGAGCTGTCACACCTCCTTTTTACCTACACCACTGGAAGGGTATAAATATAAGGGAATTTTTCCAATTAAAGGACAATCGAAACGGGATTGTTTATTTATTTAAAAATCAGAGTCGCCACTTGGGAGATTTATGGTGTCCCAAGTCACCGGTTCAAATCCCGAATCGAGGAAAAGGATTGACTCTGTTTAACAGTCCGCGAACCAGAAATCCGGGTAAGGAATTCTGTTAACCCGGGAGAAGGTATTAGGCATTCCCGAGTCCCGTGGTTCTAGCACGGTCGCTTTGATCATACTTGGCTTATTAAATTTGTCTAATTACTGACTTTAGATCTTATGTGCATTTATCTATTAACCGCTTTAATCACTTGATTATTCGTAATTAAAGAATTGAGTTACGCATACGTATACACTTTTTTTGGCGCATTAAAAATCATGTCACGCGAACGTGTCCACGATTAATAACGCTTGTTTATTTATTTAAGAAAAATTGATTGAAGTTGCGCGAACGCATCCCTCGAGTCTTTTTAGAATTAAATTTGCAATCATATTACGCGAACGTATATATTATCACAATACTAACCTAAACCGAGCCTAAAGCAAACTAATGAAGAGGCACATCATGATTGGATACATCTCTCGTCGACCAATTTCAACCGAAATAGCATCAGCCTTAGCAAAGAAGAATAAGCAAAAACAAAAAGAAAACAACTTCCTAGAAACAAGCCAACCGTACATATGGAAATTAAATCTATTAACTATGGTATCATTTACAAAGACCATTAATACACTAAATGCTATAATTATGTTTACTCTTAGAAAATATAGTCCATAAGCTATTAACTACACATTCTCTTCTGGAAAAATTGATTTATTGTGGTTAAGCAAATCATTAAATAAACTTATAAGCCATGTCCAGTATTTGCACTCTCCATAAGTGATGTTAATACTTTTATTTCTTTCTTCAGAGCAAAGTGTCGAAACAGATCATGTCAAAGAAAATTAGGCACTTGTCAAATTTTTCCAATTTCACAACTAGACTAGTTTCAGTCAAACAGGACAAACAAATGGAATATCAGTAAAATTCACGAGAAAATTGCATCACAGACTAGTATATAAACTAGCTCACAAACATCTTCTGTTAATGAAATAAGGAGTAGTAAAAATATGAACCTGTCAAAACTTTCAATTAAATCTTTGGCGAATTACAGCAGTTAAAATGAGCGACGATGGCAAAACACGACCGGAAAACTTGAATAGCAACTCCACAAAAACGAACACCCTCTACGGCTTTCAAATCGATACTCATGGCATGATCGGGTCTGGACTCCGCTGAACGAGTGATGGAGAAATGACTGTGTTTGTCTATTTCGGAAAGGACCGAAAGTGAGAGTGACAAATTGGACTTGAAACTTCTCGGAGCTTACAACGAAGAAGAAAGGGATGGCGGGTTTTTGCTGTTTCCAAATTCTGATTTTGGACCTAAGCACTTCGAAACCGATTGAGCAAAGCTTCTCAAAGACCCATGGCTAACGCGAGGTCGAAAACGAGAACGAGAGAGATCTGTAAGGATGTCAATATAGCCGATCTCCCTCTCTTACACACGCAATGTTGCTATTGATTTTTCTTTGTTCAATTGAACCTTAGGGAATTTTTTAGTGCTAAATCTGAGAATCGTCTATCCCCTTTGCAAAAAATGGAGATGGCTTTTCTTTATGTCGTTTTCAGCCTTTTAGCGGTTTAGGCCCACATCACTTCGTTCCTCCTTTTTGATTTTTTTTAAGCACTAATATATAGGTAGAGTCTAAGTTTAGGCAGGTTTTTAGGTTAAGGGGTATGGGCCTAGGAATTATGGGCTTGGAAATTATGGGCTAGGTCCAAAATTAGGCATAAAATAGGTTGCTTGAGCCCAAGTTCTATTCTTCCCCTGCGAACGAGATTAAAAATACGGGCCCATTTATTAATTAATCCTACTATTCAAATAATTACTAAAATAAAACTAACCATTAAAACAAACCTATTTTTGGCATTTTCAAATATCATTTTAAAATAAAAATACGATACTATTTTTGTATATATTTTTTAAGATTTCTTTTTTAGATTAAAAATGACTACAAAACATTAATGAACCTATTTTTGTGATTTTTTGTTTTCTTGTAATAAAATAAAGTAAAAGAGTCAAAATTACTTAAAATATCTATATTATCCCTAAATTAAATATTTTACGCTAATATATAAAAAATCTTGGGGAGGGTCAAAAATCACACGTCTACAGCCATTTGGGATAAATTTATGATGTCCCAAGTCACCAATTTTAAATCCCTAATCGAGGAAAGATTGACTCTTTTTTATAATCCGCAAACGGAAAAATCTGGGTAAGAAATTCTGTTTACCCGGGAGAAGGTGTTAGGCATTCCCGAGTTCCGTGGTTCTAGCACGGTCGCTCAACTGTTACAATTGGCCTATTATCTGATTTTAATACACTTTTGAACCTATGTGCAATTTAATTTTAAACCGCTTTTCATTATTTTAATGAAGATTTCAACGTCATCTAAAATACGTCTTTGGACCACGCCACATGAAATGCACCCGCAGTCCGAGACATATTTTATTTAATGTTATTAAGATTTGGATTTGGGTCACATAAATGCGCACCGGAGTTTAGGAAGGTAAATTATTAAAAGAACGCGCCTAAAGCAACTGCGCATTTGCAACCTTGTGAGGGCCATGGAAAATTCTATTAAATGGCTCGCCTCGATCTCTAAGGATAAAAATATTAATTAAGCGAGGGCCATGCATTTTGAGATTTTATTTGGCACGGCTCACCTCGAATCATTCTAAAAGGAAATTCAAAATTAAATTTTTGAGGGCCATAACCTATTATTGTTTCGGATGGCACACCTCAACTAACTAAAGATCTGTTCAATTAACTATTTACCTCACTAAACTTGAGAATTCTTATAAAAGTCATAAACTATGGAGTCACTACTGGAGATTAAAGTAAACCAATTTGGAGATTAAAACCTTGCTATCCGGCTAGGTGGTTGATGCAATTTTGGTCATGAGGTGTAGGAAACACTTGGTTGTTCACTTTCTTGGCAAACTCAACATTCCAAGCTAGGCAACTTTATCTTTATGGATCTTCAGGGAACTATAAGTTTCACTCCATCTAAGAACTAACATACTTCACCATCACTACTATTTCAGGGAATCAAAAGTTAATATACTGTAATGAATCCATTTCAACAAGTGAATTAATTCATCAACCACACTTCTAAGAAGGAAATTGAACATGCTACAAAGGAAATGGAATTCACAGGGACCTATCCATGACTTGACAAAATAGAATAGCCTTCGTACATGGTCACACATGAGAGATTTCAATTAAACCAAGACAGATTCAATAATGAGGGCTAACAGTGCAGCATCTGTTACTCAAAACTACGCAAATCTGCTGCCTAAATGGTGCAAAACAGGGCCGCTTCAGCTGGCTAACAGTCCAAACAAATGTCCCAAAATACTGCACGTCATCGACTTAATTTACTACTCAAATTGACTTCTTCAACAGCTCGAAAGAGCAGAATTCTTGTAGCAGAAACAAGGTATACAAATTTTCAAAAGAGCAGGAAAATAGAGCAATCTGAACATGTACAATCAGCAAAACAATTAATTTGCGCCAGGTTTTAAAATCAAACATAACAGGATACTACGTGAATCATTAAGATTCAACCCAGACACTATTGCTACCCTAAGAACACAAGCAGAATTACCAAGACTGAGCTTTAGGATTTAAATAGCATATTTCAGCACTGCCTCAAGAAAACAGACAAGAATTCCAAGGAAACTACTTCATGAATACAGCTGATGCATAATTCTTACAGCTTGAAGATCAGAATGCACTTCGACATGAAACAAAGAAATAATTTGATGCAAAGTAAGGTCATATTCTTTTTTTGATGAAGAAAGTAAGATCATATTCTCAACCAGCGGTCATGGTCGGACTCAGATCTCAACACGAAGATGCGACCAACTCAAACACTCAACTCAAATTTCTCAAGTAATAACACTCAATGAATTAGGACTAAAATAGAAATGAGAAGCTATTTTTCCCAATTCCCAGAGCTTCAAGGTTGAGCTCAGCTCACACAACTGAACCTCAACCTTTAGTTTTAAGTCCAAATAATGTCAACAAATAGACCCGAACCAAGTTTTCATCCACAATACATCAAAGAAAATCGACATAGCTCAACAAACTTCACAAAAAAAAACTCTCAGCTAGTCACAAATTGATAATAAACTAAACTCGAATTCACTGATTCAATCCCACAAAAGCTTAAATGACAGCAACAAAGAGATGCAAACTTAGAAATTCCATTTCTCAAGAACAGCTAAAAACAGAGTTACATGGGAGAAAGAAAATCAAACCTGAAGTTGCAAACTTCTTTGAATAATTACAGCCTTAATAATACACCTTTTGCCTTCGAATACTAGTGAAGTTCAGCAACAAATCAACAGGACAATAGTAGAAATGGAATCGATGAACTTGAACCTCACGAACATTCAATAGACCTCAGTTCATTTCCCTTAATTCAAAGATGAAATTCAGAAAGAAAACGAACTCAACCTTCGAGTTCAAACCGAACTCATTAGTGAAAAATGACAGTTTCTGAACTTCCAAACGCAGAGAACAAAGAGGCTCAGATTAAACACAAAAATGAAATCAGATTTTTTTGTATTTTACTATTGTAACTGGAATTAAACTAAGATGGTTTTCAAAAATCAAAAAGAAAAAGAAGCTTTCTCAAAGCCCTATGTCCCAAGTGACCTCCTTTTCCCAAATGAGTCCCTCAGAATCAATCCCCCAAAATTCTCCCTGCTCAAAATTGGATGAGGTCCCTTTTAAAAACGAGCCCCTGATGAATGTGGAGCTCGGATTGAATGAAATCAATCCAAAGCCTCACACTCATCCAACGAATCATTCTCAGAACCTTCCAATCGCGTGCTACATCTCAACATCGGGCGAGTGAGAGGAGGGAGAATCTTTGGTGTCAGAAACCATTAGAAATGGCAAGAGGAGAGAAGGAGGAATGCGTGGTTGTGGGTTTGGATTCACTCGCCATGGATTTGGGTGATTCAAGGTCTGATTTGTGTGAGAGAGGCGAGTGAATAGTGAGGCATCGCTGAATCTTGGGAAATTAGGGTATGTGAGTGTGTATTCGCATGTGTATGTTTGGGAATGGGTCGGGTTTAGGGGGCAGACAGGCGGGTTTGTTGGGGAATTTGTTTTGGGCTTGTAGGATTAAAATTAAAAAGGCCCAAAGAGACTTCTTCTACACTTCCTTTTCTTTTCTTCTTTTCAAATTAATTCTTTTTATTTTCCAACTCTTTTTAATTCCTCTTTTTTTTCAAAATTAAAAATAAAATCCTAAGTTGAATCACAAAACCAAATTGACCTAAAAAAACTNAATCTAAAAAAACTAATTAATTCTTAATAATAATTATCACAAGTAATTAAAAAGCGAATTAAAGGAAAAACTACCCAAAACAAAAACTACAATTAAAAAGGTGCAAAATAGGTTGTTTTGTGATTTTCCCCTTTTTATAAAACAACTGATTTGCTAATTAATCCTAAAATATAGAATTAAATCCTAAATGCAAATGCAACATATTTTTGTATTTTTTTGTGAATTAAACAAAATTAACATGCACAAACAAATGCGAACAATTAACAAAAATACTACAAAAATCTACGAAATTGCAAATAATGGGAAAATTTTATTTTTCTTGAATTTATGGGAGTAATTCATATAGGGCAAAAATCACGTGCTCACAGCTTCCCATCTTTGCTCGGAAACATGGAGAGCTTTCGTGCAAAGATAAAGTGAGCGGATACGAGCGTGAGCGGATACGAGCAATTTTTGCCCGTTTGAATACTTCATGGGAAACATTTTTGAAAGATTTGACCGCACCTTGCTTTCGAGGTTGCCTACATATCCTTGGCTATAAAAGAATCAGGTTAGTGTAGTTCGAGAAGTTTTGGTAGCTGGGACAACCATGAGACTGTGATTTCACTGTTGTTGTTGCTGCTTACTGAACTCCTTATTACACCTGACAAAATAAAAGAAGTTATACTAAACTATGATTTATGCATTACAAAAATCCTATCTGTATCTTCAAACTTGATCTTGTGGTTCTTGTTGCTTTGTTGATATGTATTCTCCCGGTAAAGTCCCTTTGTTGCCGACTTAAATTGTAACCTGAGATGCTTTGCATTTTCTTCAGGTAGACGCCTGATTACTGCACTCGAATTATAATCTGAGATGCTTTCCCTTTCTCCAGGTGGACACCTGATTACCGACACTTAAATTGTTCCCCTTCCTTAAAACTGATGTTGTTGTCCCTTGATCTCTAGGTGGGCGCTTGATTGCCAAAACTTGAACCGTATTCTCGTGCTCTCTAGGTGGGCTCCTAATTGCCAAAACTTGAAATGTATTCCCGTGCTCTCCAGGTGGGCGTCTGATTGCTGAACTTGAACTATATTCCCGTGCTCTCCAGGTGGGCGCCTGATTACCAAAACTTGAACTGTATTCCCGTGCTCTCTAGGTGGGCGACTGATTGTTGAACTTTAACTGTATTCCCGTGCTCTCTAGGGGGCGCCTGATTGCCAAAACTTTAACTGTATTCCCGTGCTCTCCAGGTGGGCGCCTGATTGCTGAACTTGAATTGTATTCCCGTGCT